TACCCTTTAAAAAATTCTTAATTTATGCTATCATGCCAAATTTATGCCTCTACTCTGTAGAATTTTTGTGTAACTTTCTCCATGTTTAAGCCACAAATTGATAGGGTGTATTTATTCACCACTTTACCATATCCACTCTCAAGCTTTGTCCTTAAAATTCCTACATTGTGCTTTCATTCTTCTCATTTAAAACCAGATATTTTGGCACTCAATTATTTTGTAATTTTTTCTTTTCTACCTAACCATATGTCCACTTCCTAAGCAAATGTATCATGTTTTTCCCTTGAATCATCCATACCAACATGAGTAAGTTGGTGATTGATTATTTAGAAATGAGAAGGGAAAGTCTTCATTTTGCTGTCACAGACTGAGTGAAAGATATGTTTCTTATCAAAAAATATTGCAGGTCCCTTTCTTGCATCTGACAACATTGTGAAGTGTGTTCTTTTTACAATTACATCTTGGAATACTTTTGTTCTTGTTTTCATCTTTAATCAATCAATGCAGTGAATCATGTGATCCAGCCATGTCTTTTAGAGAGATGGTGATTTGTGTTTTTTACTTTAGCAGTTAGAGAGGGTGAAATGGATACAGATGTGTCATTTAATGTCATCCATTCCTTCTTTTGTCTGTGTTGTCAAAAACATTTGGTAGCAGAAATTTCCTTCTACAATGAACTCCCTAACAGACAATGAGTTGCCAATTAGAAGTAGAGAACAAACAAACAAAAAGAACAGAATATTACCCAGGAAAATTCATGTTCACATTCATGTTCTGTCAGCTTATATAATATTAATTGTGTAATTGCACTAATATGCATCTTTCTCTCCTAATGGTCAATTTTAAAGACCCTTGAGAATATCCAGGATATCCCCAACATGCCAATACCCAAATTTATGGTACCTTCTAATTAATTAAGTGGGACAATTACATTTAAATACCATATGGTAGGGATACTTAATATTCTAAAAAGCACTCTAACTGAAATGAGGCAATAAATTTAGCAACAAACTACCAAAAATAAAGTAAGTATAATTCATAATCTCATATCTGGCTAGTTCTACACCCATAATCTAAGAATTATACTTAGGACCACAGAGTTGGGAAGAAGAGACATTTGTTATAATTATAGTCAAATTGTGTCAAAGTTGTCATTTTGCTATTCTTGAAGTGACGCTATCTACTCTTCAGTGCTTTTTGATTCAGTCTGTATTATTAGTTTCATAATGTATGCATTAGTGTGGAACCTCCATTTTACACAAACTATATATAAGTTTTCTACAATGAAAACATTTACTAAGCAGTATTAATTGAATACATCTAGAATTTTACAGGTTTATGGCTTAGTGTTATTTAACTGTCACATGCCTAATTTAAGTGTTATTTTTTGTTTAGAAACTTACCTTTAGTTATTGCTATGAGCAATAACAGCTCTTCACATTCATGTTCTGTCAGCTTATATAATATTAATTGTGTAATTGCACTAATATGCATGGGTTTATATCACTTACAAATAGTGATTTGCTAAGCAAAGAACCAGTACCCATCCTGTTAACTACAACAAATGTACATGTGAGCCTATCAGAAAATACTATTCTTAAGCTTGTCTGTTCTACAGAGAGAATAAGAAGAGTCTGTCAGAAGGTTAGTTAGGAAAACTTTACTAATTATTGTGTTCATCACATTTTAAAACATGCATATTCATCCATACATAGATATATGAAAGTAACAAGATTATAAAATGCAAGATGAAAAGGGATGATGTAAGACCAACTAAAAAGTTGTACCTTTTGCCATTCAGACAAATAATTATTCTAAGATTCTTATTGACAGTAAACTTGTCAGAGAAACTTTATACTTTTTCAGTTGGTAATTAAAATATGTGAAAGAGAAAAAAATGAGGTAGGCCCAATCTATTTGGTAACACCTGCTAGTATTGAACACATTTGTAAACTATGGCCCACCAATTCTGTACTGAGATATGTACCCAGTGTATGTGTGGGGAGGGGGGGGAGCGGCTAAAGGAGAGTGGGAGTGTGGCAATATGTATTCACTGAAAGACACATGTAAGGTTTACAATGGCATTATTGATAATGAACCAAAATTTAAAACAACCTAAATATCATTGCAGTGTAATTGATTAAGAAATACTACATTTGGGTAAATACCTAGGAGTGGAATTGCTGGATCATATGGAAGCTCTATCTTTAGTAGGTCAAGAAATCTCCACACAGCTCTACATAGTGGTTGGCCTGTTTGCACTCCCACCAGCAATGCAGGAGAGTCAACATGGATGGAGCTAGAAGGGATCGTGCTCAGCAAAATAAGTCAGAAAGAAAAAGGAAAATACCGGATGGTCTCACTCATAGCAGGAATTTAGAAAACCTAAATAAGGGACCAGGAAAAAGACTAATTAATACAAAGTAAAAATCAAAATCAACAATCAACTATAAACCAGAGACACACTACTGGTGGGGAGGGGAGAGGAAGGATTAGGGTCAAAATAAGGGAGGGTGCAATTGTATGGGGAATATAACCAAGATGAAAATGTATACATTGTGTAAAAATGAAAAAATGATGTAAGAATTATATAAAATAAAATATTAAAAAAAGAAAATACTACATACAGTGATGAAAATGAACCAAGTACACACACGTGCCACAATATTGGTAAATCTGAGAAATATAATGGTAAATGAAAAATACCAGACCAAGAAAATACATACCATATGTTTCCACCTTTACAGTATTCAAATAGGCAAAATAAGCTCTGGTGTTAAAAGTCAGGATGATGGTTACTTTTTGTTGGAAGACAAGGAAGCAGGATTAGAAAGAATTACAAGACAAGTTTTGGAGCTCTGGAAATATTGTTTCTTAATTTGAGTGCTATTCCATTTGAATGTTTTCTCTTTGAACTGTATGCTTATATGAACTGTATCTTTACAGTGTATGGGGCAAAAAAAGTGTCAAAAAAATAAATGTGACTATCCAACAAAACTAAAATTAACAAGATGAACTTAGTAGTCAAGATACAGAAAAATAAGTTGAACACCGCAAAAGATTTTGAGATTCATTGTGGAATCTAGCATAAAGGGAAATAAGACTTAACAACTTAAAGTCTACCATCTGTAGCTAATTTAGTTAAGAGAATTCATTTTAGCCAATTTGTACTTTGTATACTTAGTACTTGTATTATGCAACCACTGAGAACTATTTAATAAGCATATAATTATAAACCATGAATCATTTTATCCTATTCCTATAAAGTAATCTGGATCACCCTCCACGTGTATTTAAACCATTTTTTAAAGTGTCAGGTTCAGTTCAAAATAAAATACTGTTTAAAAATTAGACTAAAATTGGGTTCACTGGACAGGAATACATTTCATTAATTGATCTATTTTTATATAATAACCATATTTTCTACCTCCTAAGTTTCCTTCATTTAAAATATGAAAATATTCTGATATGTATTCAATTCATCTAACAACAAACAAAAATCAAGTATACATTAGAATAAGATCAAAATACTGGAGCCTTTTAACTTTTCTCTCATGAAACTGCTGAATCTGCAAGACAAATTCAATAGTGGTAATAAGTATATGCTAGTCCAGCACTTTATTGTGTAAAAGGCAATAGAGAAGAATGAAATACTCAGTTGCCATAATTAATAATCTTTTTCATTGTGGAAAGGGAAACACAATTGCATAAACCATTGATAAATATGATTCCCCTCTTCAATTCAGTTATAATTATCTCCCTTACTTGGTACAGAGAGTTGATTTGGCAAGAGAACAAGTATGCCTCTAAAGTATTTCGTCAAATAGATAATCATTTTGAAAAACATTTATGTTAATGTCTGAGCAACTATGATACTTTAAAATTAGAGAGCCTGTAATTTCTGCAAGGAAGACAATATTTGGTTTGGTGCAGAATTGTAGCATTGTCAATAAACATGTCTACTTTCTTTGAAATAAATTTTGTATAGATTTTAAAGATATATTCCTTAAGTTTGTTGAAATTATTATATGGTCCCTAATGAGATACTATAAATCCTAGAAGAAAAAATACAAGGCATTCTAATGTATGAATTCAGTTCTTAGGTACTAGAACTTTCTGAGCATTTTGCCAGCCACTCACCAACTTCTCTTTGCTATGATGCCAACACTGTGCTACACTGTAGCTGTGAAATATAATAGTGGCTGAGCTGGAAAAGGAACACTCTGGATGGAAGATAACATTTTTCACAGCAAAGTACCATTACTGAGATCCTGAGTCTTAATTTCCACCCTAATGGGAAGGGAAGGAAACCAAGATGGTAAACCAAGTCAATAAATAATTTGGTCCCTGTTACTATGGATTTGTAAGTATTGAGGAGAATTAGCTTGGGATGAACCAAGTTCCTGTTCCATCAACACTCCTTCATTTGGTAGCTATCAATCTTGGCAATCTTTGAAAAATAGAATTGGAGGAGTGTGCCAGAACAGAAAAGGGATAAGGTCAGAAATAGCCTTGGGACGGAAACCCAAAAGCAGAATAAGTGTGGAATATTACTTTCTTCCAAAATTCACATCACCTCATTCTAAATTTTTCATGTTATTTGAAAATGGAAGCACTGCTGTTTGAATGTGTGTGTACATGTGTGTTTAAATAACCCCTGGTAGAAATTATTAATTGAAATGATTACTGATGTAGGCATGTAACCTGATTAGTGACCTAGAAACAAAAAGATTTTGCCCACAAAATAGAGTATATAAACTGATTATTGTGTTACGGTGTTGTCATGTTAAATTAGAGAGAAAATATAACTTTTTCTACCACTGAGTATGGTAAAGTTTCAATTCTTCCTCTTGTACACTTCCTAAAATAATTGTTTTCTTTAAATGATAGTCTTAAGTAACGATATAACCTCTGGTTAATAGCTGTGAATAAATTCATGAAAATCTCATTTTTTAGTAGTGTTATATTAAAAATATTTAACATTGTACTCCTTTTATTAGGATTTGGAACCTGGAAGGAATGCAGACAGCTCATTTTGTTCTTCATTCCCCTGGAATGAGTGTGTGCTGGCATCCTGAGGAAACATTCAAGGTGGTTATTTATAATTTAGCTTTTTTTTAATCAAGCTGAAAAGACATGTATATAATACATACACAAATAGAGGAGAAAATCAATCACTTTTTGTACCTCAGAGACTCTTAATTGACACAAATGCATTTGGAATAGTCTAGAATCTGTACCTTAAATGTTTTCTATAGTTCAAGTTTTTTATTTGACAACCATCATCCACAAATGACATTTATTTTGAGTATACTTTTCCTGCCCTTCTATAGATAACATTCTAAAACCTCATGCCTAGACCACATATAACAATATTTGTTATTTTCAGAAAAGATGTTGAGTCCATTCTTAGAAACCATGGCATGAGCCAGAGTACCAGTGGCATGAGACATATTTATCCTAGCTGCAGTAGTTTTCAATTCCTGTTCAGAGTAGAGCTTTCTAAAAGTACACTACGCGTTTCCAATTCACCCTAATTCTTACTTCATTGAGAAGATGTTTTTGGCCAGTCTCCACTTTTGACTTGTCTTCCTCACTCAGCTTAATCACTTGTAGCTTTTGATTTAAAGTGAGAGACATGCGTCTTCTTTTCAGTTAAATGTGCTGTGCTATTCAGAAAATGGTGCCAATAGACTCTGCACAGTGTTGCCACAGACCTTCAGTTTTTAAAAAGTGTGATTAGATGAGGTTTGCCTGTACCTGTTAACTTGAACTCATGTTCTCCCATCCCTTGATCTAACTCTTCAGTGTCCTTCAATTTCCACGACTCTGTCAATAGTAGTCATCAGTGGTATTTTTAATCATCCAATAGGTTCTTCTTCCATTCTTACTCCCAAGGCAGTTTTTCATGCTGTTGATCACTGCTCTGTTGAAGCCCTGCTCATTTCAAACCCTAATCTTCAAAGCTGCATTATTCTGGTCCTCTCCTCTTCCAGCTTTTTTTTTTTTTTACTATGTATTTGTCAATTACTGTAGTCAATTGTTCTTCTTCCACTGTACCCTTTATTGTAATGGAGGGTAAAAGAATGAATAAAGTCCATGTCTGTAAGTTACACACTTTAAAAGAAAGAAAACAGCACAGAATGCTAGAATCATTTTTTTTCTTAAGTAGAATGATGACATAAACAAGGATTAATAGATCTTCTAACAGCTTTCATAGAAGAGGTAATCCTGAGCCATGATGCCTTTATATATGTATCCTCTGAGCCCTGGGATTCCATGAAAACTTGTTTCAGGACTGTTGGATCTTTATTTTATGCCTGGATATCTCCCTCATAGAAGTAAATCCAAGTATAATCAGGTATTCTGTCAACATGTTAATATTGTCATGTGTAAATACGTTAAGCTACCTTTTTTAAAACTGTGACCTCAATGAGAAATGAAAATTATTACCACCTCTATCCTGAATAATTTATAGCTATTTCAGATCCCTTTCTTCCATATGCTTAACTTAAAACTTCTATTTTTCCTATATATATCATTAAAATTTCACCCCCATCTCCCCTTTTTTAGTTGTTTGTTTCCATTACTGGCTGTTTGGAAGTCCTGCTCTTAATCACATAAACTCAGAATCTGAAAATCATCTTTGATATCTTCCTTCCCTGTAGACAAACTTTTCCAGATCTTCTGATTTTTCCTTCACTTTCACTTGAGTGCATTCTTCTCTGTCATTAAGATGCATTGTCACCTTTCTCTTCTCACACGTAACTTCCCAAGCCATGGCATGTTTCTCAAGACTGGCATGTTTCTGAAACCTTTGCTCCTTCTTGTCTACTTTAATTAGAATAATCTTAAAATGGCAGTTTTATCATGTCATTACTGAACTCAAAAACCTAAAATAAAAAAGGTGACACAGATGTGTTTGTTATCTGTCTGGAGTTAAATCCCAGTTCCACCACTCACTGGCTATGTGATCTCTGACAAATTTCTTAAGCCCTCTCAACCATTGCCTTCACTTCCCCCTCTTGCAAAATGGATACTTATGAAGATTAAATGAGAAAATGCTTGTAATGTCCTTTAAAAAGGACCTGACACATAATAAGCTCTCAATTTTAGCTACTTGTCATTTTTGACACTATTATTACTACTTTAACATTCTAGTGATTCTTATTGGTCAGCCATACCAGATCAAACTTGGAATTTTTGTTTTGTTATACAAACATAGTCTTCATAAAAATGAGGTCACCAAAGAAAAGAGAGGCAGATCCATGATTACTCTTTTATAGAATTCTTATGAAAATAACAAGAGATACAAACAATGTAAAAGGTCATAATCTAGAAAGCACAAAACAAATACTAGCCTTTAATGGTTAGTAAAGGTACAAAATCAGAAGACCTCCAGAGACTAAGCTCATAAATCAGATAAACCACAGTTGGAGCTGAGATCTCAACAAGTAGCAATAACAGAAGCAAGAGTTTAAGATGTCATAGGCCCAGAGTTTGGGATTGAGGACATCTCAGTCTCTGACCCTAAGAGAAAAGAGTTTAAAAGGCCACTGAATGAAATGAGGTGTAACAGCAAGCGTTTGTTGAATGATTCCTCAGTGCCCACAATGTGCTGAGTGTTTTACATGTATTTTCTCATTCTCATAAAACACACTGAGCTTGATAGCATTCTATTCATTTTATAAATGAGAAAACTGAAATACAAAAACATTAAGTAATTATTTGCCCAAGGTCACACAGTCACAGATTTGAACTCAATCTGATTCGAGTACTCTATGTTCTCTGCTACTTAAGATATTTCCCCAGTGGAATTTAGTACATAGTACTGTTTATGCTTCAGAGACGCCCGAAAGGAAAAAAATCTCCCATAACGTTTTTAGATCTAGCAGTTCCAATTTAGTTAACTTTTTTTAGCCTCTACCTGCTCTTTCAATAACAACAAAAATCTGTTATCACAATTGAGAATAGTTCTAGAAACAGTAAATACCAACAAGAAAAAATTTTGCTAGAATTGAGTTTCAATGTGACTTCAACCTGTGATAAGAACCAGTTGTACTAAAGCAATTCTAAGCACTTTATTTGTATTGACTCATATCATCCCCCCCAACAGTTCTATGAGATAGGATCAGTCCCAGTTTTACTGATGAATTCCCAGTCACCAAGTAGTCATTTGTTCAAGATCATATAGTAGTAGCTCCTGAAGGCAGAACCGGACCCTACCTAGGCAGTCTCAGTATAGATGCTGTACCCTTAACCCAGCATGCTTTCCTGTTCCTGCTTATTTCGGACTGGGTCCCGGATAGACCTGGCCCTTCATATTCCATAGTCCATAAGTTACAGCTAAGATCCCCAGGAATTCTACAGTCAGGTTCAAAATCTCAGATATTTTTGCTAGGTCCTAGTAAGTCTTCCTTTGTCTTCTCCTTTTTCCAATCTTTTCCTACCCCAGCTACATGCAGCACACCAGACCACTCTCCAGTCTTCACATTCTAACCCTGTAGGAACACCTGCTCTGACAGACCTGTATTCAAGACCTGAAGTCAAGACCTGAAGACAGAGGCTAGCTGGGAAACCTTGAACAATTTACTTTAATTCCTCTGTGCTTCAGTCTCCTTTCAAAAATGGGATTGACAGCAGTTTCCTCATAGAGTGATAAAATAAGATAGAGCATGTAAAGCTCAGTACTGTGCTTATTTTTGTTGTATATTTGTCATTGACCTCATGTTGTTATTTGTAGTATTAAAATTTCTACTTGTTCTGAAAGAATAGTTTGAAATTCCAACTTTTCTACTAAGAATCCTGTAATTCCAAAGACTGCCCATATTCTAAATAATTCCTCCTTATTTAGCATCCTTCCATTCTGGAAACAAACTTATATTGTATAAGGATGTGTAACATATAAATTTATTATTTATCATTTTTGGAAAAATAAATACTTAGCTATCCTTTCTAGACAGCATAACTTAATGGTACCTCTTTCCAGAAAGAAACTTTAGGTTGGTCTCTTCCTAGTGACCATATATCACCTCTTAAAATTGTACCAAATAATTCTTTTTTTCCCCCCAGTTTTCTGTAAGGTTTTTTATATTTGATAGATTTTTACATAGGGTGCTCTTATTTTCTTTGCATCACATCTCCCGTTTGTAATATCTGCAAGTGTTTTCATTTTATCTTACAACCTTGAGTCTCTGTCTACTTCTCAGATTTGACTAGTGAATTCAGTGGTTAAATTTTCCCTTTTTTGTTTTACAGCTTATGGTTGCAGAGAAGAATGGAACAATCCGGTTTTATGATCTTTTGGCCCAACAGGCTATTTTATCTCTTGAATCAGAGCAGATGCCATTAATGTCAGCACACTGGTGCTTAAAAAACACCTTCAAGGTTGGAGCTGTCGCAGGGAATGATTGGTTAATTTGGGATATTACTCGATCCAGGTACTTCGTTAGTATATTTATCTATTACTTACCAAATATCAATCACTGTTCTTAAATGACTCATTGAACCATCCTGGTACATCTGAGCTTCACTAGAGCAAAAACAAATCTTTCCTGTGGGAGGACTAGAGTATAGGATTTTATATAACAACATAGATGGGTACCCTTGCATTGAAGGTTTATTTTGAGAGTAACCCAAAAAGAACACTGCAGAGGAGGATGTGATCTGAACAATGTCTACTTATGTTAAAAAAAAAAAAAGAAGAAAGACACTGACCCTACTGAAAGATGGTATTCTGTCATGTTTCTAAATCATGTTTATGTCATTACCATATTTCATCTATTTTATTAAGGTTTAAGTATAAGGGATATTTTGTTCTTTAAGGAGAAAATTCTCTTTTAGTTCCTTTACTTGAGTCTAGCACTTAATCAATAAAATGCAAAATATTATCTTTTAGTTACCCTCAAGATAAGAGGCCCGTCCACACAGACCGAGCCTACTTATTCAGGTAAGATACCATCTTTGTTGCAGTCTCAATTTGTTGTTTTGAGTTTGATTACTTTGCTCAGGATGTGCCAACACCTAAAATACTTTCCCTGTCTTTTCCTTTGCACTGGGTTTATTTTTGTGATTGTTTGGCTGTCTTCAATAAGTCTTTGCTTTCGTCTTTTGTTTTCAACAAGGCAGTGATTTGTTTTCCAATATTTCTTTGAAATAATGTATGAAACACAAAACATGTTACTACTACACCAATCCCATCCCAACAATTTGGAACATACGATTCCTTATGTTTCCCTGCTGATAAAGATGTTAATGTCGGTAGACCTGTGTTTATGCATGTAAGCTTCATTGTTGTGAGAACATAGTACATGATATATATATATATGCAACTTACTTTTTTTCCCACTTCACTTAACATACTTGTCTGCATTGTTCTTTTTCATTCAGAAACTTAAGCCAGTAGAACATTTATTATGTGTTGTATTTCATCAAATCTAATATACCTTCAGTAAAACTATAGTAGAACATGGGGACATCGTTAATCTATGTACTATTGAGAAAAAAATATATTCAATTGAATGTATGAGCTCCATAGATTGCATCCTGTAAAATGCATCCTGATTTCAGAAATGTGAGCAAATACACATTTAAAGTCCATCAACTATGATATTTTACAAGAACTTTGAGAGAGTAATTCAACCATGTCATCAAGAATTCAGACCTTGGGGCCTCCCTGGTGGCCCAGGTGGTTGAGCGCCGCTCTGTGAAGCTGTCCGCAGCCTCTGCAGCGTGGGTTCAATCCTTGCCAGCCGGCGAGAATCCCACATGGTGCAGCAGACCTCACCTGTCTCACCCACAGCTCCCCTCAGCAATGTATTTCGTCAGTCTGCCTGTTCTATTCCCCGCTGTGTCTCTGTTGAATCCTCTCACCCTCCCACACATCTGGCCTGTACCCCGGTTCTTGTATAAATAAATAAATCTTTAAAAAAAAAAGAATTCAGACCTTGGGGCCTCCCTGGTGGTGCAGGCGGTTGAGCGCCGCACTGTGAAGCTGTCAGCAGCCTCTGCAGCGCGGGTTCTTCTATCCCGGTCGGCCAGTGAGAATCCCACATGGCACGGCAGGCCTCTTCTTTCTCGCCCAGGGGTGTATTTCGTCAGTCTGCCTGTTCTGTTACCTGCTCTGTCTCTGGTGAATCCTCTCACCCTCCCGCGTATCTAGCCTGTACCCCAGCTCTTGTATAAATAAAATAAATATTTAAAAAAGAATTAAAAAAAAAGAATTCAGAACCTTGCCCTCTGCCATCCTCAGTGGCAAAACTTTGGACTTGCTGCTTCAAAGTCACAAAGTAACCTCCAGAGTTCTGGGCATCATGGCCTCATACCATAATGTTCAAAGTAAGAGGAAAGGAATTGGCAATTGCTGTCATTGTCTTAAACCAATTTTGTGTTATTCCCTAGTCAGACACATTGTACCAGAATATAGCGCGAAAAGGGGCAGAATGGTTGTTGGACAAGCAGTTGTATCTGCTACACATAAAAATATTAATTAGAATTTAGCCATTATATTTGCCAAAGATTTTTTTCTTTTGTTTTTTTATCTCCCCACTGCACTTTTTAAATTCTGGGTATGTCCCTGTAGCTTCATTAGCACTTGGATTCATTAATGCATAGTTTTCCAATGTTGAGGATGCCTTGAAGCTTAAACATTTAAATATCTAAATATTCTAGTGTTTGTATCATCCCAAAGAACTTAAAAGTGAATTTATCACTAATTTTATAACAAATGTCAATAAGAACATTCAGTATGTTTTCTAAATGTATTATTAAGTATTTTGTATCTTTCTGATACCAGGTTTGTGTCTACTACCACTTTGTCCTACCACTTTCTTTGTAAAAAAGGACTATGCTAACTAACCTTGTTTAACTTTGGAGCTTAATAAATGGACATGATAAGCACTTAAGAAATACAGAGTGAGAAATTATTTACAGCCAACTTTCCTAGAATTCCCAGAACCATATTAACAAATTTGGGTTTATAAAATTATTGTTTTCATGCAAAAAGAAATAATGTTTTAGAAAACCAATAGTTATCTGTAGGATAATATTAATTTATTTCTTGTCTTTTCTTAGGTGGTCCTCCATTAATGAAAACTTGTTTGCAACTACTGGCTATCCTGGTAAAATGGCAAGCCAGTTTCAGATTCATCACTTAGGACATCCTCAGGTAATATGGAGTTGTTTGTGGCATATTTTTTTTTAATTTGTGTTTTCTGCTTTTCTAGTCATAGCCCCCAAATTTGTAATGTCTATTACCTGCTTAAATTGGAAAGAGAAGGCATTTCTTTATGTGTAAAATCATCAGTGATGTAACACTTTTGCCAGGGTTCATGTAAGAAATATTTCATTTCTTTTTTACATATTTCCTCCACCATTTAAATATATCAATTTTGTTTGCTTGGTTAGTTTACACTGCAGAAATATTTGTGTCTGGTCTGTTCCAGTTATTCATAGATTATTGTATCCTTCATTCTAGCCAGCTGCAAACAATAATGTGCATTTCACCTGTGAGGGAGCTTATTTATAACGAAGCTATATAAACAAAGATTATTTATCAAAGCATCTCTTATTTTAGAAAGTACTTTTTATTCATTAACTGAATTAGAAAGTACTTTTTATTCATTAACTGAAGATTTATTGAGCTTCTTTAACTCTTCATATATTTTGTAGCCCATCCTCACTGGTTCCGTAGCGGTTGGATCCGGTCTTTCCTGGCATAGGACCCTCCCACTGTGTGTAATTGGAGGAGATCACAAGCTCTTGTTTTGGGTGACTGAAATGTAAAGTAAATTCACTCTTACCTTGGATCCATAAGCATATTTTTAGTACATATTTTGGACAATTTCTTATTTTTATATCAAATATACTGTAAGTTCTACAAATGTCTGGATTGTTTTGTGAAATAAAATATTGATGGTTTGAAAAATTATTTTCTGACTCTTTTCTGCACATGTATATATTATATACGTGTGTGTGTTTTGTATTTTTAGTCATCTTTTAAGGCTATCCTTGAGATTGCACCTCAGCTCCAGAGGAGAGATGACTAGGGACATATTTTATCACAGCATATCCAATGTGCATCCTACCTTCTGTACTTTAAAAATGATGTTTTCCTAATTCTCAACAAACATTTACAAAAGAAGAAAAAGCGCTCTCCTTTCAGTTACTCTGGAAGTGGTTGAATATATATGTGTGGGTGTACATATACACTTTTGTTAGCAATCTGTATGTATGGAACATTATTACTTCCTCCAGAATTATAAAGGATTATCATTCAATTCAATATAAAAACTGATTTGCAATTTTTTCAAAATGTGACTGATTATTCTACTCAACCCCATTTACTTTATGCATACTTTATGCATTCCTTTTGACAGTGCGTCTCAACACTCTTAGAACATCTGCTGTATGGAATAAAGGTTATCTTAAAAAATGTTTCTGAGATGTTAACTAGTAGCAGTAGTTTTCATCCTTTTAAATATTGAAATCAGCATTGTGTAAAGCAGTCATATCATGTTTTTGTGATATATGTGATGTAAATAGAAGAGTATAAGATTATGGTTCTGCTTGTCAGTAAGGTATAAATAAATCTCTACAGATTCTCTGTTCCCACAAGTTAATGCCCTGTCTGAAAGATGGTAATAGGAATCACTAGCATGGAGTTACTATGAGGATTAAATGAAGATGAATGAAAACACCTAGTTTTTGTCTACACACAATTCAAGGATTTGTAGGTATTAACTTATTTAGATAGAACTCTAACCTTTTCTGTCTTTAGATCTTATATATAGACTACGGGACCATTTTCCACCTTCTACTTTGCTGTGAAACTTTAGTATGTTCAATTACTTTATTGTAATTTTATATCCTTCGTAAACTGTTATGTTTAAATTAGACTGAGATAATAGGGAATGTTTAAACTAGAATACATTGTTCATCCTTCTAATTCTTGATAAATAACATGAGATCTGATTGTGTGTGTGTGTGTGTGTGTGTGTGTGTGTGTCCCAGTTAAGTTAGTTTTTCCATGTTTGTTTATAACTATGTTTAAGAGGGTTTTTCTTCTGTTGAAATTAAGTTTTCCTCAGGATTGCTTCACTTACAAACATTGTGGAAAGACCAAAAAAAAAAAATTGTATTTATGTTCTAAAACTTGTATTATTTAGGACTGTTGAAGCAAAAATCAGGGTATCACAAATCTGCAAGATGTCAGAAGTAAATCCTACTCTTTCAAAATGATGGAATCGTAAGTCCCATTTTATTTTTATGATCTGGCTTGTACGTTGTGAATATTCAGTGCCTTTCCCTGCCAAAACACAAAATCGCACACCCATGTAAGCCAATTTGTTTGTTTCTTTGGTAATTTGTTTCTACATATTGACACTGACCTAGAAATGTTCTTGTTGCTGTTTTAAATCTCATGTCAGTGGAGAAGAAATTGAAATCTGGTTTACACATTTGTGTCTGGTTTTTTGTAATTGTCCAAAATCTGACATTATCCCAGAAATGCTGATTGGGAAGTTATGAGACAGTGTTGTGGCCAAGACTTAACTTCTGAAGAGAAAAAATTAGTTGCTCCAGATTAGCCTTTATGTTTTTCTGTAGCTCAAATTAAACTCAGTTTAACCCAGGCTTCTATTATACCTTAGTTCTGAGTCCAAATAAAATCTGCAAATTAAAAAAATGGCCATTTGATAGTCCTTTACTGCATTTTCCTCATAAGAACTTGGTCATGTCTTCAAAAGTAGCAATCTGTTCCACTATATCTTCATCAAGCTGTTGGTAGGCTCAGTAAAAGGAACAGGAGAGAACACTGTTTCTTTAACACCTTGCTGATTCAAAAACATTTTAGCAGGCATTGGAAAAGAATTTCAAAACAGCTAACATTTGTTTCTAATTATACATTTAAAGAAATAGGCCCTTCAAACATAGGTAGAATTTCTCTGATTATTAACATGACTTTAATTTATTGAAGCCATATATTTACTAAGCACAACAGAGTAATTAGGCTATCAGCTTTGAGGATTTCATTTCACAAAAGAAAAAACATACACATTTGATAACATATCCCTTACTCCAAACTCAGCCATTTCTTTTGCATGCATGGACACAGTCTTCATGGGAAATCAAAAGTATTAAGTCTACTTTCTGACCTTTTCAACTGTTCTTTGAACTACCTTAGTAAAAACAAGCATTGCCCTTATGTAGGATCAAGTTACATTGTCTGGAAATTTCTTTGCAATCAGCTTATTGCGATTTAACTTAATGTCTTTGTTATGTAGTTGTTTGCCTTCTCAACTAATTTTTAACAGAATATTCTACCTTGGGACTTGTAACACTTACATAAGCTTATAAAATCAAAATGAACAATAGTAAGTAAAAGGGGAGGGCACCAGGTTTCTCAGCCTTTGCAATTTGAGTAACCCAATATAGATTTACAGATGTATGAAATAAGCATTTTTACCAACTGCATTTGTAGTGCTATATTGAGTTAACAAGTGCCTTTCTCTTTCCTTTGTGGTAAAAGACAATAAATGCTGCTGATCTCTTTGCTTCTAATGGTGGTTAAACACAAAACTTTGATCCTGCTTATAAACACAGCTGTTGACCCATCAATGAGCCAAATTCAGACAAGATTAGACTTTGGCCAAAATTAAGGTTAATCTTCGAAACCATCTCAAGTTAGAGCTTTCTTAATACTGTTTTAGGAAATCGCTATTGTTGAGACAATGTATAAAATTAAAAAACCCCAGACAACTAACTCTTAAGATAAGCCACAGGCAATTAGTGACAAGTTATACCACCATTTTAAAGAAGGTGGAGGTTATAAACAAGTTAGTTCATTTAGGCTCATTTTTACTAAATTATCAATGTAAGAAAAGACTTTCTTAGTTGACAATAAACTTAAATCATACCAAATGTAAGTTAACTTTTTAGAGAACATTTTACATTAATGTTTCTTTAGTTAATTACTAATTCTTCCACTAATACTAATTAAAATAAGGTGTTTCTTACAGAAAGTGACATTTTATTGTAATTATTATATAACTCACTGGTTTCCAGCCTACAAAAAAAAATTTTTTCATTAAGATTCAGACTCTGAAATTTTAAATACTTTGCCAAATGTTCTGTACAGCTGATTCTCTGAGTTGGACACTAGTTCCTCAAGCTATGTTATGAACAGCTAATGGTGTATTTCTCCCCAAATTGCCCTTACCAAGGAAAATATCTGTGGGAATATCCCTTGGTTGAAATCTATAAAGCTCCAGTAAGTTCTCCCTGGCACTTGATTTTGAGCAATTACAGGACCTAGTCATATATGTGACTGATACATATCTCACCCCATCCTGGATTTAACCCACAGATACATTAAACCCCTGGCCATGGAAAAGTTATGGAATTCTGTCAGTGTTTTTGACCTATTTGTTCTCCCCATAATTCTACCCTCCTGCCACAATAACTAAAATGTGTTCACATGTGTATAAAATCTTTACAAAACCCTGGTCATTGCTTCAAAACCTATTAATGACAAATAACAAAAATAAGGAGTTACTGCAAGCACTTCTTGATTATTCATATTATCAAAATCCTTTTTCCTTTGAAGCTGTGATCTCTCAGGTCCTAAGATAATACAGACAGTCCCAAAATCAGTTCTAGCAGATGTTGACTTCAGGTGGCCAGTTATCTGCCTCTTCCGCCTAAAACACCACTAATAGTAAAAGGAATAAGCCAGCAAATGAACCTTTACCTCCAATTCAAAGAGAGTGACTTTTGAAGATCTCATTCAGAAGTCTTGGGAGGATTAAAAGTTCCCAGATATATCAAGGTAAGCCTGTCATCTTGATAGCTATTATGTGACCCAAAGTTCAGCTATGGAAGTCAGATAAAAAGCAGAATCCTTTAACTATTCCTTTCTTTGTGATATATAAGAGGCAAGACTTTTTAAGGCAAGATGTTTAATAGGTAGACTAATAGCCTGGAGAAAAAAAGAGAGCAAAATACTCTCTTTGAATGAAAATTTCGGCATTTATAAGATGGACTTTCCAATATAATTCACCCATTTCTATTTAACATTCTTATTTTTAAATTCTCAACAATTTTCAATATATATGAACTATCCAGCCACAGTCATCTGGGGTTCCTAAAAATTTTTTTTTTTAATTGAAAAATATCAGAAAATATTGTAGGCCACTTTCCTAGGATTTATGGCTCACACTTTCTGGCCCAGTCATTTTTAAGGGGCAATATGGAAAGTCCTAATATGACCATTTTGGACTTTAGAAAAAGGCTACAGGAAGAAATGTTGACATTGCACTTCCAGAGTAGCGTTAAAGGTTTTATGTGGTGGTGTTTCAAAATAACATGTTCGCTTTAGGAGATCCAGGTACTGAGTCACTGAAACAGCCAGGGAGAGTTAATTAGAGGCAGCTGATAGTGGCATCATTCACTGCTTTTTTTTTTTTTTTTTTTAATTAACGGAAAGGCACATTCTACAAAGAGAAATCTTAGTGGATTCAAGATAAAATACCTTCACTCTATAAAAATGATAATGGCTTCATCCCTAAATCTGTGCCTGGCTAACTCCATTATAGTTTCTGTTTAAAAGCTAACTTCTCTGATTTTCCCGGAAGATTTAAAGGCACCTTTTATCTATGGCACCATAGCCCTTTGCAGCTTGCGTGAGTGTGCGCACCTAAGGTTCAATGCTTGCACCTCTAGAGCATGGCACGTCTGGATTCTCCATGTCTGCCCTAAATTATAACCTCCTTGAAGGCGGAGATTGTTCTCTGCTTCACTACTGAACATTTTGTTGAGCACTTAACAGAGGGGCCTTAACTTTTGATGAGATGATTTGGCCTAGATAAACTCAAAGCTGCAGCCACAACCTGAACCAAGAGCTTCAAATCCCAGATGCATAGTTATCCCGGATTTCTGTCGTGC